GGGGAGGCGGGGGGGGGGGGCGGGGGGGGGGGGGGGGATCGCGGGGCGAGGCTCGCCGCTGCGTTTATGCTCATACGCGCGGGGTCCCGCGGCGATGAGTCCGGAGGTGCGACGAGGAAGTACGTGGTATCACCGATTCGCGGACGTCGAATATCATATGGGGTAAAATCACTCGGAGTGACAGGTGACCACGAGTGGTACGTTCTTAAAATGTACCGGAACCATTCGGTTGGTTTTGAAATGTATGAGTTTTTTGGGGGATGAAACGAGAAAAGTTAACTATAACTCCCCAACTCGTCGGCTGGTTTGTTGCCAACTTGTTGCTCATTGTTGCAGAGTATTGCCTCGTCGCCGCGGGTTTTCCGCGAGGCGAACACGGGGAGAAAAGAGAGAATATTAGAAATAAATTTTTTGCCTTAAGAAGTCTGAAGCTCGGAGCAAATATTTTCGCGCCTGCTTCCAGAAAAAAAATTAAGTTTTTTTAAGCTTCGAGTCCGTGGCGAAACGTTTCTTTCGCGAAGCGATGCGCGTGTTTTCCGACCGGCTAGTGAGCGAATTTGCGCTGAGAATTTGCACTTTCAGGTTTCGCATCGTGGCCTGCTGGCAAAATTTGGCTCATTCATTCGGGAATTAGCTTTTTCGTTTGGAATTCATGGGTTTTATGCGTCCGGAGCATCTTGTACAATTTGATAAGCGGCTCATAGATTTGCAATTTTTGTGCGGATGTTCGGAAATTGGCGATGTGCAGAATTAAGTTTTTTCTTTTATATAGCTCTTCTCAGTAAGAATACGAAAGATGTTGCCAAATCCGATTGAACTTCCTTCGTAAGACCCGACCTTCCTTAAGGTTGCAATCGAGTTATTCTAATTTTATTTCAAATTGTTCAAAATTCCTCCAGAGAAGTGCGATTTAATTATTTGCCATTTGTGAATATGTACCAATTGTTATACCGACGAACGGAATTTGGTATCTTGATTTTCCACTTGGGGTAAGTTACAGTCCTGGTATTTTTTTTTCGCCCCGAATATTTTCGCGATAAGATTTTCATTCATAAGCCTTTTTGAACAGACGTAACTCTATTCGAAACCTAAGTACTTACGTACTAAGTACCTAGTACTTACGTACTAAGTACCTAGTACTTACTTACTAAGTAAGTACAGTAACAGTAAGAATAACCGAGGCACGGATGAATCTACGGCAAAGTAGAAAAAAAGATTTAAAAGGAAAAACAGGATTTGTCTTGAAATGTAAAACTGTATCTGGAAAGAGGAAATTTGCGTCGTCGCAGGAAAGTTGTCAGAAAAACAAAGTGGCCGTGCCGCCACGAATCATAACGCGCAAGAACTAACATTGTTGAGGAAAACCATGAAAGAAAGGCCGACGACTGGACTGGGTCTGTCCAGTCGGTTTCACTTCTGCGATTTGGAGCCTTAACTCGCCCTAATGAGAGTCCAGCAGTTATAAATGTTGAAAAAAAAAAAAACTTGCCGCGGTATGCTGTGGGTTACCTTTGAAGTTTCAATTCCAATTGAAAAGGGGGTCAGAACCACGAATAGATGCAAACGAACGGCAAGGTGAGAGAAATTCTTCATTCCAACGAGGTGAATTAAAAATGCGCCCTGACACAAATAAGGCTTATAGAGCAGAAATTCAACTTTGTAAAATCCCATCACCAAGATGCACAGCATAAATCAGAGCGCTGAGCTGAAAGATCACTTCACATCAGGAATCACAATATAAGAGTGATTGAAAATCATGCACCTGTCGAGTGCATCACAATTGATCACAGATAAAATTGCAGCGCATGACACCATCAACAATAATGATGGAGGGTGTTCAATTACCACGTGGTGCCCAGCAGGGTTGTCACTGACTCTGACAGGCAGTCCCACCATAACAGGCTGAAGGAAACAGGAAGTAAAAGAGCAAGGCCGAACGAGACTGTCGGAGACCTGGCATGAGGAATCACTGAAAGATGCGAATTGGGATCAGCTGTTTCAGTCCACTGTCAAAATGCAAGCTGAATATAAACAAGACTCATCTGGGGCTAACATACGCAAAAATAGTCTCATGAGAAATTTCATTCTGGTTCTGTGTCAGATAAAATAAACTGGCATGAGGAAAAAGATGAAGCCTCCTTCTGCTGAGATTTTAGGATCAGGATTGCGTTATGGGAATAGCCTTCCTTCAGAGTCCTCAGTGATTCAGCTGAAAAGTCTTTAGTCTCAACTAAAGGTGCCACAGGCAATGTTAAGACTGAAAATAAAATTTTCCCTCACAAAAGAGCAACTCTTGAAGAGGGACAGTATGTGTCAAGGGTGGCCAAACTTCCTGACCTAACAAGCCACATAAAAAAATCGTCATATGGCTGAAAACTACAAGACACACCACTTCACACATGCAACTCCTTGACTTGAGTATTTCACTGTGAGCCACACTTGAACTGCTCTGGAACCACATACAGCTTGAAAGCCACAGTTTGGCCAGCCCTGGTATATGCCCACAGCTATCAATACATTCCTTAGTTCACTATTTTTTTAAATCATACTCTCAATTGTAACAGTTTCATTGTGAAAAAATTATTTTCTATCAAGTTTGGAAAAGGTTCAAATTCTGAACTGAGAAAGGAAAGTCCACTATAACCTTATCTGCAACTGATGCATCTGGAGGACTGGCTTCTCCCTTTTTAGGAAACATAGCTGCAAAAAAAATGGATAGTAAGAAAGGATGTCCTTTTCTTGCTTTGGTAGATGCATTTGATTAATCACATGTCAGGCCTTGAACCTCCTGAATCTGGCCACATCTTACCTACATAAGCATACACTTGCATCTAAATAACAACGTTTTTGAAATTCTACAGGAGAAAATTTTTAAATATATTTTATCCTGAGTCTTATCCTGAACTGAAAAATCGACCCCATCGAGAACTATGCAGCAAAGAGCTTGCGATATGATAGCTGTACTTCCCTTTTCTAAATATATTAAAATTCAATATCAATGTATGCAATAAATTAATAAAAACAATGAAAAATATGTATATATGGCCAAGGGAACAACAACAAACTTCAGAAGTTACTATGGCTCCCTTCCACACATTCATGAAAGCACTAAAGGACTAGGCACAAAAGTGAGCATCAAGAACACACTTCCAATGTGCATGACACAACATCACCATTTCTAACCTTTGGCAAGGGAGTTGAAGACAACATGATTAAAACGTGCATCAATGCTGTATATGATCACAGCAAAGATGTCAACTTGTCTGTCAGAGTAGTATCATTTAATGATGTGAGCAAAGTAGTTTGAATAACATTAGAGATATGAGCTACACTCTCAGTGGTATGAGATGCAAAGACTGAGGCTTCAGCTCCAGATGCTAAGGCTTCTGGGAGAGGGCTGAAATTTCCCATATGTCTGGGATGAGCTCCTTGGGCATTCATGCGAGCCAATGCATCCACTGTGCCGAGACATGCTCCTGCTATCCCCATCACTATCAACCAATAGTCAAACCATCGCTGCAGTTTTGTCAACTTCCTGGAAAATACAAGAACAGAAGTTGCATTGAGGAAACTGTTTTGTATGACAAGAAGAGTCAGACATCGACCAGGAAAAGAAACAAACAGAAGATGAATAGGGACTTCAAAATCAGATGAGATTCGAATACTCACAGTTTGTGATGTTATTATTAAACTATTTTGCATAAAGGGTAAAACCTGATGGCAACAATAATAAAAAAATGAACTCACAAGGAGAAGATGCGCAGATGGAAGATGGCAGGAAGGACAAAGGCAAGAAGAGTGCAACAAGTGGCCCCAATGAGTGCCATCAAATGGGCAAAATTTGGAATGGCAAGGACGACAATGCCAGTGCATGAAACCAGGAGCAATCGCACTATCACCTGAAGGGCAAGAAAACCACATGAAGTTGCCTGATAACCAATGCTGAACCAAGGGTGTGGATGTCTTTTTTTTCTGATTATATAAACTGCCAAAAGATGTAAGAAGTCACCTCATGTTGTCCTATTGCAAAGGCAATTTGGACATCAGTATACTCCAAGGGTCAGTGAACAGGTTCATGCAAAATACTTACTGATTGTAATGCTCCCTCTAGTGCAGAGCAGCGGGAGTCAATTAGTTGGAGGACAGGGAACATCATGACTGGATATGTGAAGAACAGGGAGAAGCAGAGGCATGATTTGACAAGCATGGCAAAGTCTAATTCTCCAGTATGTGGCAAGTTCATGGTGATTATCTCCTTTGTTTCTGGAATAATATCAAATGAACTCAGCTGCAAAAACCAAATTTCACAACAACCCAATAATGTACAACCTGTGCATTAAAATCAGAGTTGAAAGTTCCATCAAAATACAGGAATTTAATAGACAAATTGAATATTTGTGTCTTGTCAAATGCAAGCATATATTTGCTCTGAGTTAAAGTAGCTTGCTTACAGATACATGCAGCAAAGGATGGTGCCTATTTATAGGTGCATTTTATTATCAAGTGTGACCATGGAAGACTTATGTTTTGCTTGCAAGAAAATCCCTTTCATAGACTCACAGCATGGTATCAAAAAGCAAAATGAGCCAATTGCCAAGCCATCTTTCCTATGAGACTCAAGTGCCCTTCAATATCAATGATAAATGTTTAAAGGGAATAAATTTAGAAGAATAGGCTTTCATTTGGGAATGTGGTAAATTATGCAATAAAGATTGCAAGATGACTTATGCCATTGAGGCATCCATAGTTCTCACCTGGTCCAAACGAGAGGTATCCAGATGCCCCAAAAGTGATATACAGACAGGTCACTGCAACCATTGTACTGACAAAATACTTGCGGAAGTTGGTCCGTATTGAGGAATTCAACGACTCCTCCAAAGGCAAAATCAACCCTTGACCCTGCAAAACAAAAACTTTGACATGAAAGAAAAATCCATAGAGTTGGCACTAGGTTACAAAATTTCTCTTTTGTCTATTACTGTATTTTAGCAAACCCATGATATTAATGAATTGAAGTTTATTAAAGTATACACATTTATATACATTTCTGAGGAGACAGGGGATGAGGGGTGCATTGATCAATAAATATTAATCAATCCTGATCAAGCCTTCAATATCAAGGGTAGTTTCTAACAATAGTATCTATAATTGTCATGTGAGTTAATAGTTCTCATAGTCTAGGAAAATCTGCCTATCACTTTGAGCCCTGCAGCCCTCATATGACATCCTACACCCATTAAAACTGCCAGGGCTCAAAATGTTAAAGACTATCAAGATGATACAAAATTCAGGTACACTTTTTTCTGTCTGAGAACTATTTCTCATTAGACAAGATGGACCAAAGTGTCACTTCACCTCATAGCAGTAGATGGAAACTGCAAAGTAGAACGGGAAGCCCTTCCATGAGAATTCTCTTGGATGGAACTTTGAGACATGAATGTGCTCAAAGTCGAACCAGAAAACCACAGCAAAGGCAAAAAGGTTTGATATCTGGGCAAGAAGACTAGAAAAAAAAACAAGAGTTTGATTAAATCCTCAAAATCATTCTTTGACATAATTGTGCAAAGCCTAAAGTCTTCTAATTAAATGGTTGACTGAGGATTGAGGTCTTTACAAATGTAGAGCCCCCTCATTATTAAACTTTCTATTTTTGACTGTTGGAGTCCACATGTAAAAAAATTTATTGGCAGCTAGGCCTACACATTATCAACATTTGTATGTTTATAGATGTTTCATATAAGAATATCATGCAATGAGAAGCATAAAAATGCATGCTGTCAATGTAGTAATGCAACGAAAAAACTCTCATGAAGAAGATAAATAAGCAACATGAGTTCCAAAGAAGGGAGGCAATTAATGCTCATTCTACCACTGGTACTTTCAGGAAATAAAGGGAACAACTGTTTACTTGGGAACTGCACAATCAGTGTGGACTTATGTCTGAATTAGCAGATAAATTGCTTCCACCCAGTACACAAAAGTAACAATAATCATGGCAGAGCCCCTGCAGTAAGTAGTATGCATGTGACTTTCACCATCTACATATGACTGCCCTAGCTGGTTAACCTCAGGCAATTCCACTAGTGGGTAATACATTTACATTACTAGTAGACAGTAAAATAATACACACCACCAATGTATATCTTTCACAGAGCTGAGGAACGTTTTTGAAAGGTGCAATATTAGCACTAAACTCTAAGCTGACACATGAAACATAAAATAACGTGCAAACTTATAACATACATAGTACAAACATACAAACCTGAAAATGGCAAGTTTATCAAGCCTTTTGAGCAAAGTGAGAAGGAAGAGGGGAGGAAGCAAGAGAACCAGCCACTGGGGCTTGGAAAGGGAAGGGAAGTAGCCACTCAGATTCTCCGTTATGAAGATCAGATAGGCACAGCAAAACCCTGATGAAGAAGATAAACAAGCATCATGAGTTTCAATGAAGGGAAGCAATTAATGCTCATTCTAGCAATGGTACTCTTAGGATTTAAGGGGAACAACTTTTTACTGAGGCACTGCATGACCAGGGCAGATCCTCAACTCCACCTGAAACACTATGTTGGCTCTCACAGTTCGTCGGGTGTATCCTGAAGTCATGGGGATATCGAGAGATGAGAAATCTTGAGACCTTAGATAGAGCCGGTGTTTGGGGAAGATAATTATCTTTAAATAATATTTTCTCTTTTTTTCATCATGTCCTGATGGCAGGACGCATTTTTTGACAAAAAAAATGCGTGTGGTCCCACGTGGCGGACAAGCAAAAATAGGCTGGTCGTCAACGTGTTAACAGTATTTTTCCCTGATAGATTAAGTCCTCTGAATGTTCCACCATCACACCACCGAACATTCCAAGGCAAGTAATCCCAGATGAAAAGTCTCTGAAATTATGTCTAACATACAGAAAAAACTTCTGATGACTCATAGGAACATCTGATATGATCTGACCTGCTTTGATATGCTAAAGAGGTCTCACCTAACATCTTATTTGTAGAAATCATATTTACCAACATCACAGGGTATAATGGAAAAATAAAAATGGAGCCTGCACAGAACAAAGTGGAAATACCTTATATTTACAATGGAAATATCTCATACTTCCATGAATAGCAGAGGAGAATTAATTTTTCATACTAATTAATATGTTGCATTTCTTAGAAAATATTAGTCTCAATAAATGTTCTCATCTTCAAATAATCCTGAATGCTCCATAAAATCTTTCATAGGCATGTGGAATGGTGGAAAATTTTGAGGTAACATTTTTATGGGTAGAATAACAGGTTTTGAGATGTGAATAGCTGTGTCAGTATCTGACTTCATTCAGGACAGGGAAAGTGCACGGTGTTGAAGGTAGCCTGCATCAAGAAATGGTACTAAAAGAAGTGGAGGGAGGCAGAGCATTGAAAAAGTTACTGGTATTTGGGGTGAGACAGCGGGGAATATCATCATACAGTCCTTGGATTTTCAGGTTTACATCTTCAGGATTTCATGGAATCAGGCAAAACTCTTCAGTACATGCCAACTAATAACCAGGAAATCTATACAGGGTGCTCTAAAAATACCCAGTAAACTAAAGTTTTTGTTTTTATTTTTATTTTTGCTTCAGTCTCATTCATTCAAAACTGAATGGATAAATCTGAAACAATAAATGAAAAATAAGCATAAGTTTACTAGGTATTTTTAGGTCACCCTGTACTTAAGAGGTAATTTCAAAATGTTTACTTATTTAAAAAATGAATGTATGCAATTAAATTTTCCAAGTTCATACACCTGGAAACTGGGTGACTCCTAACAATCATTATAAACACACCTGTAATACATTTTTTGTATTACATGTATATTCTGTAATACATATATTTTTCAATTCATGCAGCAACTCACCAACTTGAGAGACAATAAGTGTTAGGTCCACTATTCCTCTCCCAGTGTATCCAATGGCATGATACCCTGAAAAAGGATTACATGTTTTGAGATTTGCAGCATACGTACATGGTATCACAGCACATAGGCCTCTACTCTTTGAGAGCCTTTTCATGTCAACAATCAAATTGTTGCTCTAAACAACTCGAATTTAACTTTTAAAATAAATTCATAGCTGCTCAAATTCATAACTCCCAGAGAAAATCATCAAGGCAAAATTTAAGTTCTATGGTACCAGTGGCTTTTAAGTTATATTCCCGAAAATTTTAATGGAAATTCAGAGCTTGCTTTGCTTATAGGAAAGTTTTTGTATAGGAAATTCCAAACATGGAACAAAATACAGTGTCTCAGTAACTTCTCTCACTTTTTAACCCTCACTCAGGCAAGGTATTTTTGTGACAAAAATGAGCAAAACAAAAACAGGACTAATTTTTTCTCTTAAAAGCAAGTGAAAACGTTAAAAATTCATTTTTGGCTCTATATATAATTGCCAATGAAAGGCACATATCTATTTGTAGAAATTTGTAGAAATCAGGGTAATGGAATCCGTTGCTCAGATATGGGTTAAACATGTTTAAAATTCATTATTTCCCAAAAATGCAACACCCACTTGTCATAGTTTCTGGCTCAGCATACTCAAAAGAGGGAAATCATTGCCTTAGACAAAAGCACTCTATTTCTTATCATTTGACATGGAATGGCACTGGAGCAATGATAATATTGAGTGCAAGTTTCCCAAAACCAGCATAGCCCCTGGGGCATGTTCCCATAGATATTAGAAATTTCCTCTAAATTTGCTGTAGCTACATGTCACAAAGGCTAATCAAACCCCTCTTCTATTGATCCATTCTTGATATTGGCATTTTGCTGAATCTGTTTTGGATTAGTTTTTTTCCAATAAATTAGTCACAAGATATCAATACATCATGCATCTAAAAAAATATGAGAAGCCTAGATCTATTGAATTCCTGAAATATTACATTCTGCTGCATTTCCTCAAGCTTACTTTCAGCTAACAATAAGTCTGACATTGGATAAGTGACCATTTAACTACAAGTTAGGTTAAAAGGGCTTTAAAAAATATTGCAGAAAGGTGATTAATGTACAAAATTCAATAAGGCTGATTTGAACCACACATTTGCTGCTAAAATGAGTTTGGAGACGAAATTCCCAATGCTGAATGGGTTTAAAGATATGGAAAGGATCATGGGAAATAAAATCCTTCCTCACATTAAATCCTGCCAAATATATATATCTGCAATAGTGATAGATGACAGAATTAATAAAAAATGCCAATTGTCAAATTGTCATCAATCCTCCTGAAGAATATATTTTAACTTGTGTGACCATAGATAACTCAAACATGCTATGCAAAAAGAAATGCCAGTCAGTGAAAGTGAAATATTGCATACTGCACTAAAGCTATGATGTAGTATACAAGAGAACAAAGACTAACCAATATCCCCATAGTTTGTGCAGTATTCTGGAGAAAACTCATTTGCAACCATGAAACCATCATCATCCACATCCTCCCCTTCTGAATCTCCAGTGCTGAGAAGGGGAAGCTTCAATGACACTACCTGTCCATTTGACAGTTGAATTCGAGAATTCCTCATTCTGACACCTATATGACCATTGGTTGAAGCTGGACGTATTCGACGGTTGCGTATAAGTTCGTACTTGCAATCTATGATCATAAGCATGGCCTTGATACTGAAGCAGGCCACTAAACTCATCACCGTTATGCCTTCCATGACTCCAGCCTGGAATGTATCACATGGAGCAAACAACATCAGTCATGACTATGGGATAGATTTTAATAATCTTAACCCCTTAACCATAATCTTTTCAGACACTACAAAAACCTTATCAGTAATTTTTTTTATAGAGTGCTCAGGTTTACATCCTTTGCTTTGTATAGGAATACAGAAGCACTATTTTAGGAAAGCCATCCATAGAGAGTCAGAGAACTACTTCATGAACCACTATGCTTAATGAGAAATTCATAGGGTTGCTGAAATAGACAAAAATTGCCTGCTTGAGAATATCTCAGGAATCTGGGTTAGAGGGTTAATGAGTATGACTTGACATTTAAAAAAATATATAAATTAACTAAATGAGAGGGTTAAATAAGGTTAAATGTTGGCATACTCAGACAAAGGAAGTGAAAGCAAAACTACCAAAACTACAGCATATAATTATCTAAACCATGACTACAGGCCTTGATCTGACTATGGATAGCAGCCTCTGAACATTTTGCATAAGAAATTTGAGCTTCTTAAAATTATCAAAACTTAAAAAGTAAGGTTTTGACAGACCCAAAAGTAGTAAGAACTTATACATTTTTAAATAGGCATCCAAAATACAAATTTTACCCATAGTGGGTTTGAGCAAGATTTTTCTTGTCAATAAAAGCTTTAACAGTAGTTTCTAGAAGTTTTGTAGACATATGTAAAAGATGGATATGAAGAAAGAAGCAAAAACAATATGACCTTACTTCAGAGGAATATTTGTCCAAGTCTAGACCAAAAACCTAAGGGTGAGTCAAACTGAATAAGTTAATAAATTGACTTATACCATAGATCAAAACTGAACTTCCAAACAAGTATCAAAAGAAAATGGCAGCAAAACAGCCTATTCAGCTTCTGTGCCCATTCACCAACCATGCATTAAAGCTTCTCAAATGTGACATGCTTTTTACTATCAAAACCCATGAATGGAAAAACCACTTCTGCAAGAGAGGAAAATATTATTGGACAGCTAAATCATACATACAATCTCCACATCTCTTGAGATCAAAATGGCAGCCAGTGCATTCTATCACAGATAAAGAAAACCAGAGATTTCTCACAGCAGCCTAGTTCATGAGCATCTTGGGTATACCAGCATGTTAATAAGAAACATGACAAATTGTGAGAAATGACAATAACCAAACAGAAAAAAAAAGTATAGGCATGCAAAAGAGTCTCACCTCTCTGAAAGCATAAGGAAGACCAAGGACACCTGCACCAATGAAGGAAATGAATATATTTGCCACAATTTTCACTGGGTTTGCGGTTCCAGGTCCCGAATGGCCTCCATGCACCCCCATTGTGTTCTACCTTCTTGATCTTCCTCCACAACCTATACCTCTGAAAAATTTGTTCTCTAAGCTGAAGATGCATCCAACCAGGTCACTCACTTGCCAAGTACTGCCTCCTCTCCACCAACCTTATTGCATTTCAAGTAACAACAGATAATGAGTATGGTATATGTCTAGTCTATATCTGAGCCACCATTAAAGAATTTTGAAAGAAAAAAAAACAAGGATGATAGGTTAGTCATTGGAGAAAGGTGTAATAGGTTTGGCTTCATTGGGGAATTCATATTGTGTACAGGGCAACAATAATTTACAGGTAAAAAAAAAAACCATCAGAATTTAGTCATGCTAAATCTAATTCTGTCCTAATATATAGGCATAAACTTATCCTAGTGGACCTCTGCCTAATGATCAGAGTCTATTTATATGCCCCCAGACAATTTATCCCCTGAACAAAGCCCTTGTCTTAGAGTAGGTATAGTGCAGGCAGTTGGTACTCTACTATACTGACAAGATTAATGTTTGGCACACTTCAACTTTAATACAAGGATGTTCAAAAAGATTCTGGCATGATGCACTTCTGGTTGTGACACACCATTCTTTTTCTCATGGGAGGACAGATGTCTTAGAAGGTGACTGGAAAATTTCATAATTTCTAGTGATCATAGACAGATTTTAAGAATTTATTTCACTGCATTAACAATGGGTCTCCAGAAGGAATATAACGATTGGGACTAAACATACCACCTTCCCAGTTCAAGACCATCACAACTAAAAAAATCCATTTCCATTTCCAGTTAACAACTGCAGTAATAGCACAATCAACCAAAAATGTATATAGTGATGTACTTCATACTTGAAACTAACCTATATATTGGTAGTGAGCCTTTCCTGTTAGGCAGTTTTTTGAAACATTGAACAAAATATTTAAAATGCAATATCACAAAATTAGGTTTTTTGAGTGGTGATGGTCTTGAACTGGAAAGGCAATATGATGAATTTTCTCCCCCTGCAGGTTTTAGTTTTCCAGCAGATCTTTAAGTGGCTAAGGAGATGGGCATCAATTGTTCAAAGATTGGGAGGGAAATCAACTCTTGCAGGATGAAATATTCCTCAAAGCTTTCATCTCAATGGATACATTCTTTCAGAAGACCCTTTGGTAGCAAAGTGAAATAAATTCATAATGCTGTCTATGATTTCCAAATATGGATACATTTTGCCAGTCACCTTTCATAGACATCTGCCCTTCCATAAGTAAAGCATATAGTACAATCCAAAGTGCCTCAGGACAGAAGATTTTTGAATGCCCTTCATACACACCCAAAATCCAGGTTGGCCTATGCTCAACAACCTCACCATTTACCTAAATGCGAAGGCATTTATTTTTTCCTGAGGCTGTATTTTTTTATTACTTAAGGAGGGTGCAGATTTAAAGGAGAAGAGCCCATACACAAAACTTTGCAGTGGACATTTTTTCACATGTTGATTTGACAGCATAAAATTATAAAATGTGAGTTGCCTGCAACTTAATTCCACATTTTCACCCTGACATGTTGAAGGATGAAAGATATGGTCACCAAAATAAAATTCAATGGTGGATTGTCTATACTTCAAATCTCAGGTGTGTCCCATCTGCTCCACCAAATCCCTCCCATTGACCAAAAATTTGACAAAGAGAATGGAGAGTCACATGCATTATGCCTAATGGCACCTGAAGCCAAGATCATGCTCAGTGAGCTTCATCTTCCTCAGTTGTTGACTGTCAATAAATTTCAATTTCAATTGAGTTGAGGCTGAGATGTACAAAGAAAAAGTCTGCTTTGCCTACTTGTACATGATCCTTATCTTTCTGCCTGTCAATACATATTTTTATGCATATTTTAGCAATTGGTTATGCATATTTACTATTCAACGGGCATAGCTTCAGAATTTCCATGTATTAAAATCTCAGTCAAGGTGATAATTTGAATTGATAGGTTTAACTAGACCCTTCAGCAGGCCTTGTAAGTGTCTACTTGGAGGTCCAAACCTGTGAGAGGCCTATGCTTCTAAATTAGGTGTGCCTGGCACCTCTAGCTCACAGCCAGGATTGATTTTCTTGCATATCCTTAAAGTTTAATTACTTATGTGACTTAGGTCTGAGTTTACTCACTGCTTGTCACTGGCTAACCATGGTTTAGGAATTACTGCTGGGATAGTGTACCGATACAGAGAGATACATGGAAAGAAACAACTGAATGTCCCAGGTTGGTGGCATAGTGGTAACACAATGGATCGACAATCAGGAGGCCCGGGTTCGATTCCCAGCCATTCCCTGGTGTTCTTTTACCCTTTCTCTCATCTCTTCCTGTGTCTTTCTGTGATTAAGGATAGTATTCTGAAGATCGCAATGGCCTTCGGCATCACACTAGGCCTACCGTTCGTTGCCTATCTTACACACTCCCTGCCATGCGGGCGACAGCGTGGCCTGTAGCCTCAGTAGGGAGACATATTTCATTACGTGAAAATATGGATACCTCCACTGGAGACAAGCCGGTGTGGTGGTGACGATTGCCACATGGTTACGAGGCCAATACGAAACAAACGCATTGTTAAACTTCGCCTATTTGCCACTTCCTACTTACTCGCAGCTTATCCAGGTCACGTCCTACAAAAGAAATAGCTTGCGAGTAGGCCTATAGTAAATCTTTGCATGTAACAAATAGATCCCCAGATTTGAGAATGGAACAGAGTATACCCCTGACGAAATGCTATGGCCATCATTCTCCCACAACAGAGTAGAGTGATGATATAGATGTAACTGAATCCTTTCAGGAGCACGGAAAACCTGTATTATTCTAGACAGGGTTTATATATTTTAACATTAAATCGTGCAGGGTCATTTGTAAACTATTACGAAATGAGTGTATTTGAAATGTCAGAATTTGCCGCTGTTCACTATGAGTCATAGATAGACACATTAAGTGAACCATGGGATGAAGATAAGAGTCACAGTCCTCCAATAGGCCTTTTTTAAATGTAAATGAGCATATTTCTTTCAACTTATGCTATCCAGGTCCTGGTGTGGTACAGATTCAGGACAGATATGAGAAATCCTGTTGAATTCATGGCTGATGCCACAAGGTTTTTGGTATATGGACTGGTGGGTGTGATGTTAGTGATTATTATTGCACGCCACAGAATTTTCTGGCACTCTTGGAGTTGCTTAGTGGCTGGTTTCATGAAATTTCCCAATTGATCTCAAATCAGACTGCAGCATAGTCCATGAATACAGTCAACTAAGATTCCTTTTTTCAATGGCAGACTATAGAACTGCCTAGAACTGATTGAGCTTGGTTTTCTGCTTACTAAAAGAAGCCCTACCTGCTATCTGTGCTATCTTACCTTTGCCAATACTGAAACTAACATTGAAAGTGAAACATATGACCTTCAAATCCAACATTGTAAGGCTTAATTCAAATTCACTCTGTTGCCCATGGCATTGAGGTGGATTATTTGCATTGAGCTGAGCCCAGGTTGGCCGCCTTCTGAAGACTGAAGGCTTTTGAGCTTTCTAGCCCTGCTGCATAATTATTTTGGCTAATCATACTTGTCATTCTCGGGTAAAGCCATTTGAAAATGTTTTGCAGGGACAATGTCTTCCAGTAGTCAAGGAGAGTCAGGGGATGATTGGAATGATTGGGAGGAAGAAGAGAATGATGTGGCACCATCTACAGGAGTATTGAATTGTGATTGTCTCTTTTGTCCTGAAAAATTAATCTCTGCAGAAGCAGTTCTCCAGCACTGCAAGGAAGCTCATGAGTTTGATATTCATGAAATGAAACGGAAATACTTCCTTGATCAATTTGGGTGTGTATGCCTTGTGAATTACATTCGTCTAAAGAATCCATCCTCAACTGAACTGCTATCCCTTGACCATGCAAATCTCCCATGGATGCAAGAAGATTTCATGAGACCAGTTCAGAAAGATGATCAGATGCTTACATATGGTGAGTTCAAAGTAGGCCTCAAACTAGGCTACTGGAGACTTATTTACTCAAATTTAGTTGTGTCAAAGGATGGAGCTGTAATGGTTCTGAAACTTCTGAATTTAATATCTTTCGTGCTGGAAGTTGGAATCCATGGCCAAGCTGCAAGCTCATCAAAAGATGTCATCCTATATTTCCCTCTAGCTCTGCTGTTAGCTGATTTATATACAAAGTAGTCTTTCATATGGAATTTCTCATATACTGACAGAGAGGCAAATAGTCAAACCCATGGAGTTCTGGACACAAATGACATGGGTTCACAGAGTTCACATGCCCCTGTCTATCATGCTTTTTTTCCCACAGGTTTTCTTATTTTTCTGTGAATTCATTTTCAAAGGGAAGCCTTTTTCATCCATAATCCATAATACAGATATTTTATCATGGTACAATTCAATCCCAATTAATCAGATTCTTGTACCAACTGAGAGCATATAGCAACTTAGTAATAATTTTTTAGTATGGAGCTGTTCTTTTGCAAATTTTCCCCCCAACTGACACTTCTTCCATGACCTTTATTTATAATGCTGGAGCTGAAATATACATTTTAGACAGAATTTATTAAGTGAATTCCTCTTTAGCAGAAATTTTCAACCACTGGTAATTGTACTAGCACCGATACCTCAGACTTTTTATCATTGGTACATGTCAAAATGAAAAAAAAGGCAAATATCAATAAGGGGGAAAATCTAGCTATGTGTGGACAAATGTATATTTGCATTAGAGTGTGTATATTGTTGTTCATGAGGTTGCACAGGCATGCACAGGTCTTACTGAAAAGTATGTCTTTCCACATAAACTTGTACATTCACGAACTGATTTGTGTCCTTTCCATTCATTTAAAGACTATGAGGATGATGGGGAGGCAACATCTGACAACACAGGTGTTGGTAATGCCAGGCATGGAGCATCAAAAACAAATCCTGAAGACCTGCAAGCCATCATTAGGGAGAAGGACATATGCATTGCTACTCTACAGAATCAAATACAACAAATGAAGGAAACTATGGCCTGCCTCATCAGTGATCAAGGAGGGAGTGAAGGGCATGCTTTCAAACAAGAAGATGAAGGCTACTTTGATTCCTATGCACATTACTCCATTCATATGGAAATGATTCAGGTAAGACTAATTGAAGTTTCATCTTCAGAGCTTTGGCTGCTTCTCTCTCACATTCATGATGATGGAGTGATTAGATCTGCTAATCAGCACTCAAGCTTATAGAGCGATTTGATCTGCTAGTAAATATTCAAGCCTGATAGAGTGATTAATTCTGCCAATGGACATTCAACCCAGACAAAATGACCTATAGAAGTCTCTGATAAGCAAGTCATAGGATAATCCAGTGGTAAGTTGAAAGAGTGAAATGCAATAGAATTGCATTGGTTTTCTAACAAAGCTTCAGTGTGCCTTTATTGGATTCATTCTGTTACAATGTTCTTGGTTATTATTCATTTTTGGTAATGGGTGATCTTATTCACTAGTGAACAAGGAGAACTCCCCTTTGCATATCTTTATTCATCATGCTCCAAAATAAAGTTTCTTTGCCATGGGTTTCACATAGAGAAATATCATGCTTTGTGCTTAGTCTTCTTCATATCTAATCTCCTGCTGCTTCTTGCTAGAGTGAGAATTGATGTAGAAAAGCACAGTATTTGATAAATCTCAATGAGTCACTGGTTGGCAACTTGATAAGGACCCATAATTTCATTTTATTATCTTTACAATACACACAATCCAATCTATGAAGTCTCTGTGGAATTTAGTTGTAAATGTTGCAGTGAGGAGTTGAACCAATGAAACATTCAGTATTGCCAGTATAATAGGACTCAGATTTGACATAAAAAAAGAAAGGTTCTTTTTTCTAATCTCTTCTGTCCAACTATATGCAGTCTCATTTCAGCAAAACCCACCCGCAGAAGGTCTGCAGATTTAATCACCTGTCCTGAATGCTGATTTTCCAGACTTCATTCTGCTTGTATTGGCTAAAAGATTGAAACTACTCTTGTTAATGGAAATATTTCAGTGCCAATAAAGAATCATTGGCCTGAGTCGTAGTCTTAATTTTGAAGACCTATTTTCTGTTTAACTCAAATGGAGTATCATTTTCCTCTGCGTAAAAATTAATTGCTGGTTGTCCTGTCTCATCTGTGTCCATTTTCCATTTCTGTTGCCAATGAATAAGTCTCTCTTTTTAAAGATTTTTAAAATAAAAAATTCCAAGTGTGGAAGACTGCTCTGACTACTTACAGTTAAAAGTTGCAAAGTAAAAAATGTACAGCCTGTGAGGTCAATATTAGGCAAGACAAAAGGATGGGGGAATAGGTTTTCCCCCATCATTTCCCCCCTTTGAAGGACAAAAAGAATTTGAACACTCCATTTATTGAGAAGTTACTTCAGATGAAAATGAATAGAGTGGATATGAGGATGAATTTGTTGCATTCAGGTATTCCTTAGAAGAGCATGTTTGAGGTTCCATTGTACTCTGTATTCATAGCGAATCAGCAAGTGTCTTGCTTTAAACTTAACTGGTATTATCTTAGATGATTAGACCACAAGACAGGGTAGGAAAACCCTTGTGAGCCTGCGAACGAGGTTCACAGGAATGAAGACGTGCGGTGGGCAGCCCTCTTAGTCTGCTTGCATATCCTTCCCAGGAAATTCTGATTTGTTGCCTCAGGTTCGCAGGGGAAAAATATTTTCCCTACAATGCCACAGGATAAAGCTAAATTGCAAATATTGAGGTTGATAATTATCTGAACTTCAGAAAATCAGCAAATCATAAAGGTTTCCTGTATGGACAATCAGTGCCCAATTTTAAGAAAGTAAAGGGAGTGAATGAGAATAAAAATATAATTTTATTCAGTCAGTCTCTAAGTTGTAAAATAAATTTTCTAATTAATTAGTTATATTGATATTGATAAGAGATTTGTAAGAGGAGAATCTTCAACCTGATATGATTGATTCACTTAAAGCAATGCATTCTTTGCTAGTTAGTTTATTACTTCCTCTCATGCTAACCAGTAAGGCTCAAAGAATGAACTTGTAGATCCATGAACTTCAATTTTGCCAGTAAAATTTGTCCAATATTTCATAAAGCATCATTTTTTGTTTCAGCTTTGATTGCTTAATTCAAAATAAAAATTTTTATGTTTATTTTTGTAGTAGCTGCATCAGTTTGAAGATCTAGTATTAAAAGAAAACATTTTTATACCTCCTGTCATTTCTAATGAAAGTTTCATTCCAGTTTGGGGTTATCATGCCTCATAAAGAATGGGCCAACATAGGGCCTCCTGGTCATGAATTGGTTAATCTAGTTTCCCCATTGGATTGTCTAGGACAAAGTGAGGACAGGAAGTTATCGTGATGCCATCTTGAAGAATGCATCTGCTTTCAAGGAGAAAGTAGTTCTTGATGTGGGCTGTGGAACTGGAATTTTGTCACTATTTTCCACTGAAGCAGGAGCCAGGCATGTGTATGCCGTCGATCATTCTGACATCTTCTATAAGGCCATGGAGATCATTAGGTAAAAACTGGAAAACCTTTATCCCCTAAACTTACTTTCGCTTCTATTTTTCTTCTCACCTCAGTAACCCATTCAACTGATTGGCTTTCCAATTATCCTTTCATTCAAGTGCTGCTAGATGGATGACTTCTATGTTACAGGCAGGTAATACAAAATGAGGAGATATTGATTTGGTATTGATTTAATTGAGTGTAAACAACATGGAGAGGTCTAATTCATCATGGACACAAAAGGCAATATTTCATAGTTAAGTCAACAAAAAATATTGCTTGGTGCATCCCCTTGGTTCATCACACTCAGCAATTGTGGACAATTCCTGGATTGCCTTCACCTAAAACTAGATAATGATGTTTTTATATCCATGATGTGGATGATGCCCTCAAGATATTTGAGCTCCTTAATCCTGTGTTGCTGATCAACTCTTCACTTCAACTACGTCCCATCCTCCCCTTACTCAGAGAGGATTATTAAAAGGTATTATTCTCTCCAGTAATTGTTTCAATATCCATAGAAATTATTATTATTATTGAAGTCCTTGCCAAGGAATAGCTGCTCACAATTAATTTTAAAAAAAAAGTCTCAGAGAACCATTTCTTTCAACTCGATGGTGCACCCTGGGACAACTCTAGTCTTCATTGAGCCTAACTCATGGCTCTTGGACAGTCCAAACCTCTATCTTGTTGGTTATGCTATCTGGTTGGCATTTGCTGAATTCATCATGAAATGTGGGCTTTCATGTCCATGATGGTAATTTTGACCTCCATGTTGTTCACACTCAATAAATCCAATGGGAAATCAATCTCCCCTCTTTTCATGCCTCACCTAGCTCTTGCTATGTGTCAGCCTTTCTTTGGACTATCCTGTCATCTGTTGAAGTGTATGTCATTTTCAAGCACATACCTAGAGCTACTTGTACATGGTAGGTGCCTCCATTCCTCATTCCCTTCCTGCAATATATTCCTCGTGAAGACAATGACATGGTGTACTGCCCAGCCTACAGTGCAATCATGGCAAGTTCCTTGCTGTGGGAACTATTTATTATTTCTGTCTGAGAACATTAGAAGATAGAGGAGATATTGATAGTTATTCTAGCAAGGTGTCTGGTTGGAAGGGAAACTATAAAATTCTTGTCTTCTGAGGTAGAAAGGGATGTGCTGATTCTTGTATGGAAAGAGTTAAATTTTAGTGCCTTCATGAAGCATCAACTGTGTCTTATGTGGTTTTCATTATTAAAATACATTTTAAAATGTTATTACTATTGTTTTTGTTTCCTTTTTAGGGAGAATGCACGTGAGAAGCAGATAACTTGCATGAAAGATCGGGTAGAAGAAATTCACCTTGAAGAGAAAGTAGACATCATTGTTTCAGAGTGGATGGGCTATTTCCTACTCTTTGAGGGCATGCTTGAGAGTGTCTTGATAGCCCGTGATAAATGGCTACAACCATCTGGTCTCATCCTACCTGACCGTTGTACTCTTTACATGGTTGCAGTTTCTGATGAAGGTGAGATTAATTAGCCAGTTCCTTGATGTATGTCATGATATTCCACTTGCATACTGATACATCAAATAATTGTAAGGTAATTTCACTATCAATTTCATAGTGAGTTCCATAGATTATGGATGTAGTAATGAATGAGGATAAAATAATATTTGTTTCAAAGCAGAGATCTCCTAAAGACTAAATGTATATTATTTGGTAAAGGTTTTACCCAATTAAAACATCCTACCCTTTCTGTAGACAAAACACTTACTGTCAACAATTCCTTCAAGCATTACCATCATATGTATCTAGTCAATTTAGCAGCTTACCCTCCACTTTTGAATTCAGAGTTTTCAATGGACTTAGATTCCATTCTTTGTCTTCGTTTTATATTGAATGTTTATGAACATGATGGGTCTAGGGCCCATGGTATGTTTATAATACCTCCTAATCAACCCAATGGATATACTCCTTTTCAGCAATAAATTTTATCAACATGCATTATGCTTATTCTTTATGAGTCATGACTATGTCTGTGCTCTCAGACATGGAGAGATGAGAGATGAGGCATACTCTCAGCAATATTTCATCCTTTTTTCTTAGAGGAAATGTTAATGTTGGAACTTGCCAGCTTTGCCATTCTTTATCAGCTTGTGAATGAAATATCCCTACCTCAGTTTTCAAATAGCCCTGTTTGTCATTTCATGGAATGCTCCCTTGTTATGAAGGATGGAGCGTAGATCATGAAACCTTCAATCTATATTTCTGACATTTCTCCCTTCAAGGACATGCTCTCCAAGAAAGGTTTTGGCTTGTCTTCTTGATTTTCTGTCACGAAACTCACCTTAATATTATCTAAATTGCTTATTTTATCAATATTCACAAAATTATATTAACTTGTTAATATAAATAAGAAAAGGGCATGGACAAAACACAATTCCTAAGATATCTCACATAATACTCCATTATACTAGTATAAGAATTTTTTTGATATGTAACAACCCTCTGACTTCTACTGCTAAGCCAACTCTGTATCAATTGAAGAACTTCCTATTGATTATGTGAAAAATGAGAGATTCATGCATTTGTCTCAGACAGGTACAGCAAGTATGTAGAATCCTGGGACAATGTCCATGGTTTCAAGATGTCATGCTTAAGAGGAGAAGTTCTCAAGGAAGCAGCTGTGGAACTCGTGCAGTCTGACACTGTTGTGAGTGAACCTGTTCTTCTGAAGGACTTTGATCTCAACACCTGCAAGGCAGAAGATGTGGCATTCACTGCACACTTGAAGTTCATTCCAAAGAGGACTTGTCAATTGACATCTTTAGCTGGCTACTTTGATGCTAACTTTTCGTTGGACAATCATGTCCATTTCTCAACAAGTCCCTCAGCTGAGCCTACCCATTGGAAGCAAGTCTCCTTTTATCTCCCACATCGAGTTCCTGTTAATCTTGGTGAGTCAGTTGTGTCCTTAACAAGTTTTCTCTTGTTTGCATGTATTTCATATTCCTTTATTCATTTATGGCACTACAGTTGGTGTGAATCAGTGCTCTTTGTTTTTTGCAGGTGAAGTCCTGGAAGTAAATGTCACATGTTCCCCAATGCCTCGAGATCGTCGCTCTTATCAAGTTCGAATCAATATTCATGGGGAAAGTCATTCTTATATCCTCCAGTGACTGCCATTACTTGATTGTTTTGAATCTGGAGATGAATTTCTGGTTTCCCTATTTCCCTGTTTTGTGTTCTCCTTGAACCAAAAGTTGAATTTTTTTGTTGCCTTTCTTTGTCTACTTCTAGAAGGAAAGCTTTGGCATCTTAACCCTTTGCAGTCCTATTTTTAAGTTTTGCAGGCCAAAAAGTCCTATTTTTTACACTGTTTTTTATTGAAATAGGTTCAAATGAGGTTTTATTATTTCTTTTTCAGTTGAGTAATTTCTAGCCATCTGATAAAGTAAAAATAACGCCTATAAACACGCAAAAGAATAGCACTGTTCCATTGAGCAAAATTATTATCATAATGCGACAACTTTGACTCAATTTCATCCCAGGGATGAGGTTGGACCGCAAAGGGTTAATCCTCTGTTTTTCATTTACTCATGTACAGTAGATGAAGAGGGAGGATGTTAAGGTGAAGCTTTAAGATATTTTTGATGTGAAGTATTGAAGCAGCGAAAGGAAAAGGAATCCCATGTAAGCAGGGACAAAAGACCACATTTAAGGAAATGCTGCCAGTGATGTGCTCATCTGGTTGCATGGATCAGTAGGTTTAATTCGTATGGAATCTGCATCATTTGCTGCAACAGGTTGTGTGCACCTCGTATGGTGTGAAGAGGGCAGCTGTTTTTACTTGTCTTGTAATGGGTCTAGAACAAGAATTGAGAATCACTGGCTCGGCGAGCTGAGAACAGTGCAAAATTTAGCTATCGCACTATGCATACACTTTTCCATTTTACTGCTGATCAACCAATGACTGCCAATATTTGGGACTACGACCAGTGCTGAGTGCATCGTACAAAATCTGCATAATTCACATGAACTTGGGATGAATTATAACGCTCCAAATCTGTCAGATTTATGAGAAACGGTCAGTCTCATCACTGTCCATTCCACTGAGTATTTTATTTGCCAGAAGAGCCTAGGAAGAATTTCTGCTAGCCGTAACGACCTTCAGGATGCGACTAGACTTTTGTCGACCCGTGAGAGTGGGATCGACAGACACGCTCTCCTGAAGAAGGGAGCAAACGTCTTGACCGAGCTCCTTGTTGTGAAAGACCTCGACCCAATCGGTACCCGGAGCGAGCTCGTCTCCCCGGCCCTTGAGGATCCTCACACCCACCGAGTGGTCCACTGTCGTGCTGGCCCCTCTTGTGGCTCCCAGGATCTGACACACTTTCCCTATCTTCATCGCGTCGATCTCCTTGATCGTCCCTGCAACGCGAAGGCGTCGTTCACACGGAGAATCGTACCCAATGTCAATTTGAAGACAGAGGGTATCGATCCGTTACAACAGCGGTTCTCAACCTGTGTGCTGCGGTGCTTCTCGCGGCACCCCTGAGTCCCATGGGTGTTGGGAGAATTTATTTTGGGCCTGTCAACAAAGTAATGCAAGAAGGCCATAAGTCTGGTATGCTACTTAGCCCTTTCTTGGGCAGTGGGAAGTATACTTCCCAGAAAACGTTCATAAAATTTATCAAGGAGAAATGTCAAGAATAATATTGTACTGCTATAAAGACTGCTTTTTGCTTCCAAAAATGTACATCTACCTTCTCTCATTCTGGATGTTAAGGAGAAAAAAAAAACGGTTCAGGTCCCGTTTAGGCATTGCAATTGAACTGCGTGAGGTCATTTCAAATTTTGAGACGCATCTTGATTTACTGGGCAACCAAAGGCAGGCGTAGATATTGCGTTGGAGCGAAAAATTTTGTTTCAAGATTTAATCCTTTTTTTGAAAATGTGCCATGGTTTCGAAAATGACAGTTCAAAGTAAACCTTATTGTGCATGGAGGTTCGTGGATGTGCAGGGATGCCGTTACGAAGATAAGGTCGAGAACCGCTGCATCAAAGCGATCGTCGACTGACCTGGTGGCCCAGCGTACGCGATCGCGGTGCGGTTGGAAGCTTTCGGCAAGACTTTCCAAGGGTCCCCGGCGACGAGGACGTCCGCGTTCGCCTCGCTCACCCCTTGAGCAAGGAGCATATTCCGAAAGTGTTCCATGGCCTTCCCCGTCTCGATGTTGGACCGAACGTTCTTCACCCCCTCCTCCACGGACCCCACCTTCCCCATCGCGTGCAACAGGTGACCGCCTGCATCGAGGACGACAATGCTCAAACTTCTGCGTGTTTCGCACGTTAACGCGATTACTCGAAATACGAAGACTCGCGGAGGATAACTGGATTTTCTGGGGGAGGATTCGGATTAGGCGGACCTCGTGAGTTGATTGAGAGAGTTAAATCGGATTTGGCGGACCTCGTGCGCCCCACTTTGACCTTCCATAGCCGCGGTTCTCATACCAAAATGATCCAGACCTGGTTCTAAAACTATTTGATCTGCTGTTTTTGGGGATCTTGAGTTGGACCTTGAGTTGGAGTACATCGGCAAAATTCCTTGCTTATTGATTTTCTTTAGATTTCTTCAGATTTTCTCTTATATGAGCGACTCTGAGCCTCTCGTGAAACGAGTGAGGAATCTAGCAAAACCAAAATTTGAATTAAAAACTTTGAATTAGAGAAAATACGCCAAAATTGTCAAGATTTGTTGTTTGTTTGTCAATTATGGCGCAGATGATCCAGGCTGCTCCATGCATGGAATTCGATTATCATGTTTCATCCGACTGCATCATCATAGTGAACAGGTCTAGTCCACTGCATATTGTGGGAAAGAGGTTCTACGAGACTTCTTTGTCCCACAATGGGATCCCGCGAACGTATGACAGCAGGTTACACCCGCCCACGGCAAGACGAAAAAGCGAGACGTGTTGTGGTTGTCACATTTCGTGCTCGCACAGGAGAGGATCTTTTGCTGCATGCTATCATTTTTGGGACGGAAACTGGAAGTTACACGGCGCAGAGGTTCCGAATTCTGGTTTGTCCCATATTTATCATCATTCGAGAATTCACTCAGTGGATAAATTTCGACGTAAGAGAGAATGCGGTATGAGGACTTTTGGGGGCTACTGACGGAGAATCCCGACCTAATAAAAAAAAAAAAGCTCGTTCGTTCCGAAAAGTCATTCCAGAGATCGGCCCGCAGCGAGCTAAAGACAACCGCTTCCTGGAATCAAGAAATAACCATCGAAAGATACCTAGCTTGGTGACGAGCTCGTCGAAGTCCTCCGGCCCCTTCCCCTGAAGATACCGGATGCTCTCCTCCACCTCCAGGCTGTTCCCGATCCCCCTCCCGATGGGGTCGTCCATTTCCGTGAGAAGGGCCACCGTGGCGATCCCGAGGCTCGCTCCCGTGTCGACCTGTTCGTCATGCCGGGATGGTCCGTTTTAGTCCAGTCGACTGTCGCGAGCCGAACGACCGAAACGCAAAATTTTCCCCGGAAAATAATAGGAGTAACACCACGCCGCGTTTGACACAGTATATTTCATTTAAAATTTTGATTGATGCGAGTGAATCCAATGGAACGGAACGGATCACACGAGAAACTAAGCGATTTGGAAATGTTGGGAGTACAAAAGCGAACAGGCAAACCAATTCGAATCGGAAAAAGAAAGATAGAGACCCATCAGATCTCTGACATCCAGAATATTTGCTTAGAGTTAACGAATTATTTATTTATTATTTGCGATCGTTCATCAGCCTGTAGCACCAATTTCGTGAGGAGCTCTCGACTCTCGAAACAGCTTCAAGGTTTTACTCGAAGCCATCGAATGCGAAAGCAAAGGCTGAACAACTTCGAATGGATGGAACCCAGGATCGAAAATGGACCGGAACTCATCAAATCAAATCAAATCGGTCCTGAATTCCATTGGGAAGCGTCTTTCATTGACAGCCTGAGTTTTAAGAGTTTTTCCATTCGACGAATTCTGACGTGCAAGATCAAACACGTTCGCAATGAAGTAATGAATCCTGGCGAACGACTTTAGAATCTAAATCAGAGTTTTCGTCCCGTAATCGTTCAACTATCGGTTAGGAATTCAACTGTCAATTAAAGGGCAAGGAATCCAGACCTTTTTTGGTCTCTTTTCAGACCGGGCCAAAGAGCCAGGATGACACATGAACATGCAGGTCGCAACCAACAATACGTCTTGGGTTGCCATTGCATACAAAACCAGAATATGTGAAAAATCCTCCTAAATCTCCAGCATCGAGATCTGAAGATCGCAGCAAAGGTGTGTCCTTTAAGAACTCAATCCCTGGTTAAGCTTATAAGCGTTTTTGGAGAACTGCAAAGGAAGAAAGGGCGAACTTCAAACATCCCAAGGATTACATCTCTCCTGTCCCCCCTCCCTCTCCCTCTCCCCCCATCCTCCTCCACCTTCCCCATCGCGTGCTCTCAGACATGGAGAGATGAGAGATGAGGCATACTCTCAGCAATATTTCATCCTTTTCCCCCCCCCCCCTCCCCCCCCCCCCCCTCCCCCTCCCCAAGATCGATAAAGGTGACTTATTCATGGGGTCGTAATGGGATTTCTGCACGTCATCACGTCAAACTCCGTGTGTATATGAGATGACCAATCTCCCTTTGCTCCTTTCCCATCGGAACCCTATCTCTTGCTTTTGTCCTCCACAGGCCGTTTTACCCCTATTTTCATGCATGTTGGACGAGAACTGTCTCGTGTGCGAGGGCGTTTTACATATCACACGACATAAGAGTAGCGTTTTCGTTTCGCCGGCAATTTCAGAAATGTATTTAAATAAAATATCGATCTGGACGAGAATTCCTCGCTTCGGTGTCTGACGCGAAAGTTCTTGGTTTCATCTCAGTCGCACCATTTTCAGTCAACTTGGCTACTCAGGCTTTTTCCCTCAGACTATTTTTTTAAAAGTATCTCTCAAGGATACGGCATGTCCACCTTCTCTTCTTAAACTCTCCTCACTTCTCTCATGTCGCGAGGTTTCCATTCAGTCTGAGGTGCTCACTGAGAATCTTGGAATTTTGAGTTATTCAATCCACTATGTATGAAGAAAAAAAACTAATCGAAGTTCAATCACCTCCCACCCTCGCCCCCAAAACCCCCCTCCCCTTTGCTACATTTTCACATTTTCTCTCTCTACCGAATGGAATCTCTATCTCAATTTAGCTGATAGACATTATGATCGCCTCTCATCTCGCTGCACAAGGATTCAGCGACCGCGGCGGAACGACACCGCCGGCCGAACGTGCTCAGCAGGCGATTCGCTCGTCACCGCTGCAACATTGTAATGAATGTATTCGCGACTCTATCGTATCGCGGCTGCATTGCAACTTATTGCGTATTTTCTTGAACTTTTTTTGTTCCCTTGGTTCCTTCCTGCCGTCCCCAATAGAGCCTCGTTCTGACATTCGCCATGTCGAATATGAATGCAATAAAAACGCACGAATGGGAAGGTTCTCATCGTCGAGAGCAATGGGTTCTACTTAAAAAATGCTCAGGAAATAATAACTCTTCCACGTCAACGAGAGAGAAATTGATGGCTCGAGCTGGGCGTGCTTCTCCCATCCCATTTTCGTGCGTTCGACTCAACCGTGACCTTGATTAATCACGTGATCGGTTTTTCCGTTTCACCTTTTAAGTTCGATTCACCGGGGATTGCGGCGGTGACGAAAACCGATGAGAGAAGCTGCCCTTGCTTCCTTGACGGAAAAAAAGTGCAGATGAGTCTCTCACTCGAATTGCAATACTGCCAACCTCGTGTCAATCTTTCTTCGCCCTGACGTCAGCAGCAGAGCCCTGCAAGGAAGGACGCGGGGTGCCGCGTTCGGTGCCCCAATGGCCGGGGTCGCTTCGAAGGCGGTGAATGGTGCGGATGCGGAGGGTGCCCGCGACGGCTTTGCTTCCCGAGGAGGGCTCTACTTGAATGAAAGCCAACGCGTTCTGACGTCAGAGGAGTGTGGCTGGTGGCTAACGAGGGTGGATGGGTCATATGTCGGAAGATGATGAGGTTCATTAAGGGGATTCACACGTGCGAGTACATTCACGAGTGCGAACTCTCTTTACAAACGACTGGATGGGTAAGAAAATGGCGAAAGATTCTCTTCAATCTAACCTTTCGTATTTCGAAACATTCATTCTCGACTGGAATTAATATACTGCTGGAATTGTCAGACGCGCATAGACGGCGATTTGTTGAGAAAGATGGGGGGAGCTCAGAGACAGAACTCCTTTCCAAGTGTTCCTTAGTCTCATGCCCCCCCCCTCTCCGTACTCTCAGAAAGATGTAGGCTTGGTCTAGAACAGTGACTTTCAGTCGACTGTATCAGATTACTAGACTAAACCTCGACTGTACCAACAACTACTGTAGGGGCAATTCGAAGGAGCGAGCTAAAACACCATGAAAGTTGTTAACAATCCGCAGCACGTCAACACAGCTAGATTTCCCTTATTCGCAATTTTCGGTCATTGCCGTCCGGGTATCTTCAGAGAAAATAATCAATGACGCTCTTCTGGCGCGTAGATCACCCCAACGAGCCTCATTGTAAAAGTTCTCCGCTCGCGTCTAATGAGCGGAGAACCTTTCCAGCAGAGAACCTTTCTAGCGGAGAACCTTTCCAGCGTCTTCTTCCGAGCATTGAAACCGTCGCTTATGAATGCACTCTTTTGTTTGAGGACGTGAGGAGGCCTTTCTCAACGCTTGCAAATTGAACGGATCGCCTTTCCCATGGGCTTTCGAGCGATGGGCAAGAATAACGTCCCCACCACTTCGGTTGGATGAGAATAGCATAATTTCTTTTCTTGAGTTCACCCCATCTCAATTTTGGGTTCATCGCGTATTTCATCTGGCATCACTGTAATTCTTCCGTTCGCAATTTACAAAATTGCAAAATTTCGAGCGTTTGACGATTCGAGACAGGTTTGATGCAGATAACGAACTGCCGTTCCGATCCAAGCTCCATGCTGAAACCATAAACAACTATTCTGAAGCAAGCAGGAATCCAATGGCGATGGATTTCAACGAAAAATCGTAGGGGGTTGGAAGGTTGCCTTAAGGCAACCCCCGCAACACGGGCACGGCACACATTGCAACGCGAGTCGAGTCGCAGCAACCAAATCCACGACGAGACAAGGAACCGGCCAAGCCAGTTCTTTGTGGGGCTGCCAGACGTGCCACTTCACGAATTCACCTATCACCATCAGTCAAAAATAAATAGGGGCAAGCTGCTCCGGCTGAAATGAAGTGGTGGCTCTGGTCGGGCGAGATACAGACCAGGCCGAGGGTCGTGCATCGCCTTTTACTCGAACCACGGACTTTTAAACAATTTTTTTAACCGAATAAATTTTCGAGAATTTGGCAAAAAAAAAAATTAATTTAGTCCAGGTCGTATCCGTATTCCAGCTTTCATAACGCTCAGGGCGATATTTATTTAATTTTTATCTGGCACCGAAAGCCTAAACACACAGACGGACCCAGAGATTACCCCTTATATATTTTTTTGGTTAGTATTTAATTCATCACCAAATAATATTGACTCCGTCACAAAGAAGTAATGATTCGTCACCAGATTTTTTTTTGGTCGCTCAATGAATTTACATCACCAAATTCTTATTACCATCACCAAATGATTTCATCACCAGACCTAATGAATCTTACACCAAATTCTCCCTCAATATTTTCACCAGATGCCACGAAATGACCACCAAATTTTATCGAGTTAGCACCAAATCATTGCCACATTTCATGCGTCAAAATAAACAAATATTTATTTTAGCGGGTCTGCAGGGCAGAACACACCATGAATTAGCATTCCGAGTGAAAGTTTGCAAATGCCAGTCTTGATCCAAACATGTGCGTTCGAAAATTGGAGCTCTCACAACTCAGAGGGAGACTC